CAGAACTGAGAGACGGACAGAAATAAGCAGTACGATGGAGGATGCCAGGACATATTCGAATACAAAAAGATGGAGGAGGACAGGACATAATTATTCGAATACAAAAAGAGTAATCACAAAAATGGACTACCAGTACAGGAATAGACCTGTAGAAATAGAGGAAGAGATGAATGCCGGACATACTCAAATGGCAAGAGAAAAATCAGGCTGTGAGAACCGTCATACTGCACATTCATGGATGTCAAAGCAAATGCGGTTTGGGAGGTTTATACAGACTAGCTCTACCCGTAACATGAGGAGCCTAATGCCGAATGCCAAGAACCGACTTGATGATGTTCAGCGTGCCCAGGATAGCACATTGCTGAGCCCTTTCAATGCGCAGAGTGCCTGCCAATGCCAACACAAAGTGTGACAGGGACACACCAGTCAGTCCACCAAGCGCCCCAACAACCAGGGGCACAACGCGGACATCATCCACATGCCAGATGCGCCGCAGCTCTTGGCAAAGGGGAGCGTACTTTGTTATTTTTTCGGCGATTTTTGTGGGCACATTCTGGTCCAGTGGAACACTGACATCCATCAGCAGCACCTGTGTGCTGGACCGCAACACCAGGTCTGGGCGGTTGTGGCGCACTTGCGTATCCGTTGGGATATTGAACTCCCACAGGAGCTTCATGTCAGGATTTTCCGTGACAGGCACAAGATGATGCTTCAGCGGGTTGCTTCCCGGCTGACCCAGACCATGCCGCTTGCATAGTGCCCAATGCACCAACTTGACGAGCGTGTCATGCCGTTCGATATACAGTGTTTTGGCTAGAGCTGGGCAACAGGCCACAATGTGATCAACTGTTTCTCCGCGAGTGCCGCAAACTCGACAAATGTCCACAACGTCTCCCCGTCCAATGACCGTGACCTGATAGTGCCTGGTCGCAATGGCCTGATCCTGTACAGCCAGCAAGAGTCCCTCTGTCGCAGGCCTGATCGTTGGCGATTTCAGCCAGCGAAAGCTCAAGCCCAGGTCCAAGCCAGCATCAGAAGTTATTATTATTATTATTATTATTATTATTATTATTATTATTATTAGTCTCCAGCAACTTATCGCGGACCAGTCCTCCCTCTACAGCGTGGACCCAGCAGCCATTTGCGCCGCCAAGGCTGCTGCCAAGCAAGCCCAGTCTGTGACAACCAAGACCGTCCTGCAGACAGCTGGTCCAGAGGCCCTACCACCAATGCTTCTGGAGCACCTCCAGGCCAAGGGAACAGGTGCATGGCTGACCTGTCTTCCTGTTCGCGAGCATGGATACTCCCTCGACCGGCGGTCCTTCGTTGATGCCCTATGCATTCGGTATGGCCTCACCATCCACGGTTCACCTACCGAGTGTCCATGCGGCCAGCCGTTCACCATCGACCACGCAATGATCTGCAAGTTGGGCGGCTATCCCATCCACCGGCACAACCATGTCCGCAACTACCTGGGCCAACTTCTTTCTCAAGTGTCTGAGGATGTGCAGCTGGAGCCACCGCTGCAACCTCTACCGACGGTCCGCACGTTTGACCATGGTCCTGCCCTGCTCACTGCGGACGACGCCAGACCGGACATCAAGGCCAGGGGGTTTTGGTCGGTACAGACTGATGCATTTTTTGATGTAAGGGTGTTCTATCCCAACGCACAGTCGTACCGATCTCGCCCGCTGGCTGAGGTGTTCCAATGGCACGAGCGTCAGAAGCAGTCGGCATACGGTGCCCGGATCCGGGAAGTTGAGCACGCGTCATTCACCCCGATCGTCCTGTCTTCCGCTGGTGCCCTGGCGAAGGAGGCCACCCGGTTCCTGAAGCTGCTCGGAACGAAGCTCTCCACCAAGCTCTCGCAGCCTTATCCCCTCGTGATGGGAAAGCTGCGGACGGACCTGGCTTTCAGCCTTGTCCGCGACTCCGTCCTGATGGTTCGTGGGAGTCGCCGTGCATTCCGTGCACCTGGTCTGGCGGCGGATGTGGATGCTGTTTCTGTGGAGGCCCGCATTCCCGCCACTACGTGACGCTAAGTCCTCCTGGGGTTTGCCGCTCTCCGGTCCTCTTTCATCCCGTTCTCCCCTCTTTTTTGGGGATTCTTTGTACTTCGTCTTTCTTGTTTTTCTTGTTCCTTTGTTTTTTTGTAGGACAGATTTTTGGTGTACTGATTTCGGTCGTTGTTGTGTCTGACTCTATTCCCAATATCTAATTCTGTGGTTGGTTTTCCAACTCATTGGGTTTTGTAGTTTCCATCATGAGTTTGATTCCATCGTGAGTTTGATTCCATCGTGAGTTTTGATTCTATTTGCTATTTTTCGTTCCATTTTTGAGCTCATATTTTATTTTCCTGAATAATAATAATAATAATAAAAAATTATTATTATTATTATTATTATTATTATTATTATTATTATTATTATTATTATTATTATTAACTGGTTTGAGGGAAAGAGACAAACGGGAAAAGTCTGAAGAAAAAATTGA